GTGCGCACCGAGAGCCCGATCCCCGCGGGCAGAGGCGCGCACGGGTCCCAGCTCCACTCCCGGGAGCCCCGGCACGGTGTGGCCGCAGCGTCCGGCCCAAATCCGCCTCGTCCCGAGCAGGGCTCCCTCCCTGAGCCCGGACTGGGGAGGATCGGTGTCACCCTGAGAGCTTCATGTGCCCCCAGGCTCCATCCCAGCGTCCCCCCGAGCCCGTGTCCGGCCCCGCTGCCCAGCCCAGGCTCAGCACAGCCGCAGCAGAGCTCGGGGGTCCCTCCAGCACCACCAGAGCCGCGTCCTGACCCACTGCCCCCACCCCAGCACCAACACCCCAGGCACTGCTCTGCCAGCACCGACCATTGGGGCCATTTCTGGGTCCCACAGCGCGGGGAGGTGTCCCCTCAGCCCGGGGTCCCTGTCCCACCAGGGGCTCGGTGTGCCCCATGTACCCCACCCCTCTCTGCCCCACAGGGGTGATGTCAGGCCTGCGCACACGTCAGGCACTTCCACGTTGTGGCCGTGCTAAAGTCCAAGCCCTTGCTGTGTCACAGCCCGCGTGGAGGCTCCGGGGCGCTCGGGCGGCATAAAAAGAGCAGGGATCSGCCGGCTCTGCAGGTACCGCGGCCGTGGCAGCGCAGGTGAGCAGCTCTGGAGAGAGCTGGAGAGAGCCGGGGCTGGGGGGCTGCTGCTCCTCGGGGCTCCCCTCACTCCCTCTGTGCCCACAGGAGTCCCCAGCACTCAGGATGGTGCCCAAGGCGGCCGCCCTCGTCCTGGTCCTCCTGGCGATCTCAGGTGAGGGGTGYGAGGGTCCCCGGTGACCCCAGGGTGGCCCTGCCCCGGGGCAGTGACAGGGACCCGATGTCCCTGGGGGAACGGGACCGTGCCAGCGCTGATCCCGCACCCCTTGCAGGATCACGGGCCGATGTGAACCCTGACGAGGTGGCCACCGTCATCTGGAGGTATTTCACGGAGCTGGGCAGCAATGCCAAGGACACGGTGGAGCAGCTGCAGCAGACGGACATCAGCAAGCAGATCAAGTGAGCTGACCCTCGGTGCCGGGGGGTGCGGGGGGCTCGGGGGGACCTGGGGGTGCCGGGATGGGTGTGGGGATGTGGGCACACGGGCACTGAGCCGCTCCTGTCCCCAGCACCCTGCTCAAGAGCAACATGCAGAGCGTCAGCGCCTACGCCGAGGACCTGCAGGAGCGGCTGGTGCCCTTCGCCACGGAGCTGCAGGCGCGGCTGGCGCAGGACTCGCAGCGGCTCAAGGAGCAGATCCGCCGGGAGCTGCAGGAGCTGCAGGCCAAGCTGGCTCCCTACGCCGACGAGGTGCACCAGCAGATCGGCACCAACATCCGCCAGCTGCAGGCCAGGATGAGCCCGTACGCCGAGGAGCTGCGCTCGCAGGTGGAYCGCAGCGCCGGGGAGCTGCAGCGGGCGCTGGAACCCTACGCGGCCGAGCTGCGGGAGCGGCTGCAGGACAACGCCGACAGCATCCAGGCCTCGCTGAGCCCCTACGCTGACCGGCTGCAGCAGCAGATCGAYGGTGGAGTGGAGAGCATCAAGGAGCGGCTGTCGCCCATGGCAGACGAGCTGAAGGCGCAGGTGGAGCAGAGCGTGGCCGAGCTGCGGCGGGGGCTCAGCCCCTACGCCCAGGAGGTGCAGGACGGGCTCAACCGGCAGCTGGAGAGCCTCACCCTGCAGATGGACAAGGCGGCCGAGGAGCTGCGCGCCCGCCTGGCCACCAGCTCCGAGGAGCTGCGTGCCCAGCTGAGCCCGCTGGCCCAGGAGCTGCGGGAGGCGGCGAGCGGCGATGCCGAGAGCCTGCGGCAGCGCCTGGCTCCCCTGGCCCAGCAGCTGGACCAGCGAGTGGGGCAGACGCTGGAGGCGTTCCGGCAGCAGGCGGCTCCGTTCGGGGATGCTCTGGGCAAGCAGCTGGTGCAGCGGCTGGAGGAGATGCGCGGCAAGCTGGACTCGGGCGCTGCCGGCCTGGAGGATCACCTGGAGCTGCTGGAGAAGGAGGTGCGGGACAAGGTGGCTGCTTTCCTCAGCACCATCCCACCGCCCCAGCAGAACTGAGCGCCCCCGGCCCGCCGGCCGCACACACTCCGAGCATTCCCGGCCACTTCCCGTGGCAGAAATGAATAAATCTCCTTGTGAAGCACGTGCTGGTCCGTGTCCCTTCTTGTCACAGCATCCTGCTGTCTTGCCTCGGGGTGGGTGCGATACYTGAGACACCCTCAGCTGCTCTGAGCGGAGAGCACCGCCCCGAATTTGGGCTCTGGGGTGCCAGGGAGAGGGGGCAGAGGTGCAGGAAGGCGGGTGGGAGTCTGTGCTGGGGCCCGGTGTCACCTCAGCACCGCGGGGTGACAGAGCAGCCGGGGACACCCAGGAGGCTGCAGAGGGGCAGAGTCAAACATCCCCAGTGCGGTGTGCCAGAAGTGCCACGGGCTGTGGGGACCGGCGGGCGGGGGACAGACACTCCCCACGGCCCCGGGGGTCTCGGGGGGGATCGGGGCCGGGGGAGCGGGCAGGAACCCGGCACGGGAAGGGACAGGACGGGACGGGACAGGATGGGACGGGACGGGACGGAGTACGGCCAGCGCTGCCCGGAGCCACCTCACGTGTCGGCGCAGGCGAGGGAGCCGCGCTCCGGACTTTGGTGCCGCAGCAGCGCTGGCGACTGCTCGGCGATTCACCCCGGCCCCGCTGCCCTTCGCCCCCCGCGCCCGGGTTTGCTCCCGGTAAAAACCAACGCGGAAAGGAAAGGACACCGAGCGCGGCTGCACCGGGCGGTGTGTGCGGCGGGAGCGGGCGCGGCACGGGAAGGGAAGGACAGCCGATCGCTCCCTATCCCGGGGATCCCGCAGATCCCGGGGATCCCACAAATCCCGCAGATCCCGCAGATCCCTTCTCCTCCCGACAGCCGTGTCCCCATCCCGTCCCGCTGCCCCGCACCGCCCCGCCCCGCAGCTCCATCCGGCATTCCTTTCCCCCGGGATGCGAGGATCCCTGTGGGTCAGCCCCAGCCCCGTCCCCGTCCCCCGAGCCGGGGGGCAGCGCGCAGTCAGGTGAGCGGCCCCCGGGTCACCTCCCCGGAACGTGCTCGGACCTCCACGTTGTGTTTACACGGAGTGAGGTCCAAAAAGCCTTCCCGTACCAAAGCTGCCTTATCGCCCGCTCCTCGGCCGCCCCCCGGACCTATAAAAGGGCGGCCACCGCCGGCTCCGGCCGGGAGGGACACGGGAGGCGACCGGAGCCAGGTGAGGGGCGGGGGSCTCTGCGTTTGTGCGGCTGGAGGAGCTGGGTGAGATTCCCGGTGCACAGCAGCCGGGTTCGGGGAATCCGAGACGTTTTTGGGTACCCATAGACGTTATGGAGAACCCCAGGTGTTTTTAGGGGAGCTCCGGGTGTCAAAGGGGACCCCAGGTGTCAGGGGGGACCCCAGAGTGGGGTTCCTGCGGGGAGCAGCGAGGGGGTGTCAGCAGAAGCTCCCGTCCCTCGTGCTCCTCTCCTCTCCCGTCTCTCCCGCAGCCCGACCATGCTGCTGAAGGCCGCGCTGCTCCTGTCCCTCGTGGCCGCTCGCCCAGGTGGGTGCGGGCACGGGGGCTTTGGGGTGCCGGGGCTGGGTGGACAACACCACACTGACCCCCCGCTCCCACCCGCAGCGTCCCCRGCCAAACCGGCACAGGGCGGCTTCTGGGACTACCTGAGCCAGCTGACCGGTGACAAGGACAGCCTGGAGCATGGCCAGAGCAAGCTGGGCACGGACATCAGGTGAGCAGAGCGCTGYGGGGCGCCCAGAGCCCGCCAGCACAGCCGGGACCATGCTGCTCCTCCCTGGGACACAGAAACTCGAGGGAAGAGCCCTGGCGGGTGGGGACAGGGGCCTTAAGGTCACTGGGGCCTTGTGGTCACTGGGGGCCTTGTGGTCACTGCGGGTGTTGTGGGTGTTGTCACTTAGGAGTGTTGTGGTCACTGGGGGTGTTGTGGTCACTGGGGGTGTTGCAGTCATTGGGGGTGTTGTGGGTGTTGTGGTTACTCAGGAGTGTTGCAGTCACTGGGGGTGTTGTGGTCACTGGGGCTGTTGTGGTCACTGGGGCTGTTGTGGTCACTGCGGACGTTGCGGTCACTGGGGCTGTTGTGGTCATTGGGGCTGTTGCGGTCACTCAGAAGCATTGTGGTCACTCAGCAGTGTTTATGACTGTCTGTGCAGGAACCTGAAGGAGAGCATCCAGGATGGGGTGAGCTCCGTGGGGACCCTCCTGGAGAAGCTGTCCCCGCTGAGGCAGRGCCCGCAGCCGCAGCTGTCCCCAGAGCCGGCCGGGCTGCGCAAGGTGCTGCGGCGGGAGCTGGAGAGCCTGCGGCTGCAGCTGGCCCCGTACGTGGACGAGGCGCACCAGCAGGTCGGGCAGCGGCTGGACGAGCTGCGGCAGCAGCTGCAGCCCTTCACCGAGGAGCTGCTGGACCAGGTGTCCCTGCGGGCCCGCGAGCTGCGCCGGCGCCTGCTGCCCAGCCGCCAGGTGACCGAGCAGCTCCTGGACGGCGCCGACGAGCTGCAGCGCTTCGCCGGCCACTACGCCGACAAGATCGCCTTCCACACGGAGCAGCTGAAGGACATCTTCCAGCCGTACACGGCGCGGCTGCTGAGCGAGATCCACCGCAACGTGGACGAGCTGCACCGCAGCGTGGCCCCGCACGCCCGCGCCAGCCCCGAGCAGCTCAACCTGCACATCCAGGAGCTGTCGGCCAAGCTGAGCCGCAACGCGCGCGACCTGCACCGGCAGATCCAGCGGAACCTGGAGCAGCTCCGGGCCAAGCTGAGCCGGGTCCCCGGCAGCCTGGCGGAGCGCCCGGGCCGCTCCCGGGAGRYGCTGGCGCGGGAGGTGCAGCGGCGYGTGGAGGAGTTCCGGCGGGACACGTACGCACAGATCCAGGCCTTCACGCGGGCGCTGGACCAGGAGACCGAGGAGATGCGGCTGAAGCTGAGCGCCCGGCCGGAGCTGCCCCAGGAGCCGCTGGACGCCACGCCGCCGCCCGTGGAGGAGCTCCGCGCCCGGCTGGACGCGCTGTGGAGGGACCTGGCGCTGAGCCTGAGCGAGCGCGGAGCCGAGGGGCCCGGGAGGGACGGGACGGGGGAGGAACCCCAATAAAGGAGCCGCCATCGCGGCTGTGTGTCACGTGATCGTACCCATGTGTCACATGATAATCCCTGCATGTCACATGATCCGCACCGCGTGTCACATGATCATTCCCGTGTGTCACATGATAATCCTCACGTGTCACATGATCCGCACCGCGTGTCACATGATCATTTCCGTGTGTCACATGATAATCATCACGTGTCACATGATCATCCCTGTGTGTCACATGATAATCCCTGCGTGTCACATGGTCCTCCCCGCGTGTCACATGATAATCCTCACGTGTCACATGATCATCCCTGTGTCACATGATCGTCCCCATGTATCACATGATAATCGCGTGTCACATGATCCGCCTGAAATTCACCTGATCCTCCCGTGTGTCACATGATTCGCATGACCGTATGTCACATGATTTTTCCCGCGTGTCACATGATTCACTAGAGCGTCACATGAGCTACCGGGCGCGTCACGTGACCTTACGGAGTGTCACGTGAACTCCCAGCGAATCACGTGGCCTGCTCGCGCGCCGCGATCATTGCGTCATCGCCCCGCGCCGCCACGTGACCCGCACCATCATGTCGGCGCTCGGGGCCGTGGAGGCGGCGGCGGGGCCCGGGCCGGGAGCGGGAGCGGGAGCGGGGCTGCCCCTGTTCCGGCCCCTCAGCGCTGAGGACGGCGAGCAGCAGCCGGCGGAGATCGAGTCCCTGTGCATGAACTGCTTCCGCAACGTGAGGGGCCCGGGGGGGCGCGGGGCTGCGGGGGCCGGGGAGAGCAGGGCAGGGCAGGGCAGGGCAGGGCAGGGTGGGTACCGGGGGCTGAGGGGACAAGGAGGGCGTGTAGGAGTCTGGGGAGGGGCTGCAGGTCCTGTGGGGGTCATGGGGCGCACCCCAGCACAGATCTGTGCGGGTCCCGGTGCAGGGTCTGCGATGGTCGCGGGGATTAGCGGGACAGGGGGCAGTGGGGGGCACTGAGGTTTGGGGGGCGATGAGGGGCAGCAGTGAGGGAGGACCTGCCGGGGGCACAGCTGATCCTGGCACTGGTGGAGTTAGGAGGGGTTACCGGGGCTGTTTGGGGGATGAGACGATGTTTGGGGGGCAGGGGTTCGGAGCAGGGAGCTGCCCGCGTTGGGAGGGGCTGTCAGAGGATTGGGGGTCACTCCCCAGGACTCGGTTCCCACGAGRCCCCTCGCTGCCGCAGGGAGTGACGCGGCTCCTGCTCACCAGGATCCCCTTCTTCAAAGAGATCATCGTCAGCTCCTTCTGCTGCGACAGCTGCTCCTGGTCCAACACRGAGATCCAGTCTGCAGGGAGGATCCAGGAGCAGGGCGTGCGCTACACCCTGAGCATCACCTCCCGCCAGGTGGGCACAGCCCTGCTCTGCCCCACACCCCAAAGGGAGCTGGAGCAGCACCACCCCGTGATCCTCACCTTTGGGAGCCCCTGGCTGTGCTGGGGATCTCAGCTGCTCCCTGGCTCTGYGTGCAGGACATGAACAGGGAGGTGGTGAAGACCGACTGTGCCTCAGCGCGAATTCCAGAGCTGGACTTTGAGATCCCTGCCTTCAGCCAGAAGGGAGGTGGGTTTGGGGGAGCAGTTTGTGTGGAGGATGCTGGATTCCTGTGGGGTTTGTTAATGGGGTCGTCAGCTGTGGTTTTTTTSCCTTCCCAAGTGCTCACCACCATCGAGGGGATAATTGACAGAGCCGTGGCAGGCCTGGAGCAGGACCAGCCCGCCCGCAGGGTAAGCTCTGCCAAGGAAAAGCTGCTCAGGATGGGAAATGCTTGGGATGTCCATCCCCTGCCCAGGGGTGTCACATGGGGCTGGTGGGGACAGCGCTGGGTGCTGTGGTCACCTTTGTCAGCAGCTCTGGGCTGCCCCTGCAGCAACTGGACCCAGTTTTGTCCATTTTAACAAATTCTGTGATTCCGTGTCCTCTTGCAGGTGACAGACGGGGAGGTGGCAAGAAAAATAGACGAGTTCATTGGTAAACTGAGGCTGCTGAAAGAAGTCAATTCCCCTTTTACCTTTGTGAGTGCTTGCAGGAGGGCAGCCCTGGTGGGATGAGGGCTCAGGACGGGACCCTCACGCCCCCTCCTCSTGCAGATCCTCGATGATCCTTCTGGGAACAGCTTCGTGGAGAACCCCCGTGCCCCGCAGAGGGACGAGGCCCTGGTGGTCACTCACTACAGGAGGAGCCCCCAGCAGAGTGCCCTGCTGGGACTGGAGGTGACTGGGGTCACTCCCTCGCTCCCTGGACACCCCAAAGCAGGRATGGGGGTTAACCCTTCCTTTGCAGGGGGAGGAGGTGGATGTGAAGCCGCCGGACGCTGCTGAGGACCTGAGGGACGAGGTGGGTGCTGCTGCAGGGCTGAGGGACACTCAGGACACGTGTCCTGGGCTCTCTGGCACATTCTGGGTGTCCTTTCCCTTCTCCAGGTGCTGCAGTTCAACACCAACTGCCCCGAGTGCAACGCCCCGGCCAGCACCAACATGAAGTTAGTGCGTATCCTTGGAGGGAGGGGTGGGCACACACTGGGGGTGGGGGGCTCTGCTGGCCCTGGGCTCTCCCTGCTGCGTCCCAGGCTCGAGTGAACTCCCTCAGGTAGGGCCTGGTGGGTGCAGAGCTGTCTCAGTGCTGCTCACAGCTCTCACTGGGCTCCTGCCACCTCTTGGAGATTTCCTTGACTCTCTGCAACAGAAATCCCACACTTTAAAGAAGTGATTATCATGGCCACCAACTGTGATTCCTGTGGGCACAGGACCAACGAGGTGAGCTGGAAAAAGGGCACTGGGGAATGGTGTTCTGTGCCTTTGTCYCTGAGCTCTGCGGGGTTTGGGGCARTGTCAGGAGGTGCTTTATTGTGGTGTCCCAGGTTTGGAGGGGCTCTGGGCTGCTGGGATGAGCCCTTTAAAGCATCGTGGTGTGAATTGTGGAGTCMCTGCTCACTGTCCCCAGGTGAAATCTGGAGGAGCGATTGAACCGCGCGGCACCAGGATCACCCTCCGGATTACGGACCCTTCCGACATGACCAGGGACATCCTGAAGGTGCAGGGCCCTGTCCTGGGCAGGGTGTGGGGAGTGCAGGGGCTCAGCTGTCCCTCCATGGGCTCACGGGGTGCTCACTCGTGCAGTCAGAGACGTGCAGTGTGGAGATCCCCGAGCTGGAGTTCGAGCTGGGCATGGGAGCGCTGGGGGGGAAGTTCACCACGCTGGAGGGGCTGCTGAAGGACATCCGGGACCTGGTGAGTGTTCCTGGGGGGGCTCAGCCCCCTCCCCATCCCTTCTGGGGGGCCCTGGCTGCCTCACCTGCCCTTCCAGGTGGAGAAGAACCCCTTCACCCTTGGAGACAGCTCCATGCCCAGCAGGACGGGCAAGCTGCAGGAGTTCCTGGGGAA